CGTGCCCATGTGGGGCGCCCTCCTGTGCGTCTGTGCATCGCATGGTCTCCACCTTTCCAAACCAGAGCTGGTTTCCGTAGTCAGCCGCTAACCTCAAAATTTTCAACTGTAAAACACTAGAAGTGGAATTTCCTGAAACGCTAACCGGGAACCTAACCCTGCAGGAAATGCGCGCCCGGGGCTTCCCTCCGAGCGTCCCCATGTGGGGCGCCCTGCTGTGCGCATGCGCATCGCGCGGCCTCCACGCGAAAGTCCGCCAACTCCTGCTCGACATGAAACGCGCCGGGTGCGATCCCGAAGTCGGCTGCTTCGAAACGCTCGTCCAAGCGTACGCCGCCGACGGGCGGGTTAGGGAGGGGTTGGAGCTCCTGACCGGGTTTGGCGAGAGGGGGATCCCCCTGCGGCAGAGCATGTATGCAGCGCTGATGGGGGCGTGTAAGGAGGCGGGGGACGCGGGGCTTGCCAGAGTGAGTTTCCAACTTGGGATGCCGGGTTGTTGGGGGGTCTGGGTTTCGGGTTTTGGGTATTCAGGGGTTGGGTTTTGAGTTTCAACTCTGCGGTTTTGTGGATGCAGAAGGGAGAGGGTGTCGGTATTGGTCCGCGAAGGCACTCCTGGGGGACAAGACTGCCTAAATCGGTTCAGGTCTGCGTGGCTGCGATTCGGGAGGTTGCAATCTTGACAGCGTGCCATGCAAGGTTCGTTTCTTTTGCGCACCTCGAGAACGTCGACATCTTCCCCAGAACAGTACGGCGCACTTTCAACCAAAAGGTCGCCGTCTTTGCACATGCGAATTGCTTTGAAAAGGCTCCGCTTCTTCACACCGTCACTAAATTCTTCAAAACATTCTTCTGATGCAGGAACTATGGGCTCACGCGATTGCCCACCTTCCTGATCCCCCCACCCCCCGCCTTTGCGCCGCATACATGGAGGCTCTCCTCTCCGTAGGTTTGCCCGAGGAGGCCCTTTCCGTCTTCCGTTCCGCTCCCGAGCTGGGAACGGAACCGGACTCTCATATGTACGCCCTAGCAATTGACGCGTGCAGCCAGACGGACTCGATTCCCGAAGGGGGTATTGGTTTACGCAGGGAGTTTGGGGAGGGGATTGAATATTGGCAGTTGCCGGAGCGGACTGACGGTTCCTTCGACGAGTTTGCCTTTGGGGACGATCCGCTAGGAGAGGAACTAGAGCGGGGAACGAATCCTGGCGGTAGAGCTTTTGACGGCAAAGCGGTTGCTGAGACTGGAGAGGGAAAGTCGTCTGAAGCGGAGCAAGGGGTCGAGCCGGAACGCACTGCGGAAACGGAACCGGAAAGCGGCGCCGGAACGCCAGGGGTCTCGGAAGGCACTCATTCAATCGACGCCGCAAATCGAGGAACATCGGATCGAATTCCGGCGGAAGCTAGTGCTGCGGAAAGGAGGGACTCGAACGGAACCACTTTAGCCGGCGCAGGAAAGCCAGAGTTATCTAGTCGGGTTGGTGTAACGACCGTTGGACAACAAGCGGTTTCCAGCGGGGTTAGCGAGACCCAAACCGGATTCGCGCGTGCGCGCCAGCTGTACCACGATGTCCTGGCGAGGCGGCTGCCGCTGTCGCGGAACGTTTTTCTAGCGGTTCTCCGGGTGTGCCTGAAACATGGGGAGCTCCGGGAAGCTCTAGAGGTTCCGGACCAGATGGCCGCGGCCGGCGTGAAAGCCGACACCCGAATCTATAACCACCTCCTTCTAGTTTGCAGCGCGTCGGGGAACTGGGCGGCGGGAGTTACGGTCAAGCAACGCATGGTTAGCGAGGGGGTTAAGCCGGACTGGTACACGTTTAACGTTTGGATCCGGTTCGCGGGGCGGTGCCAAAAAACGGATGAAGCGGTGGCGGCGTTTGAGGAGATGGGGGAGCTGGGGTTGGAACGGACGGTGGTGACGTGGAACGCTCTGATTGGCGCGCTTGGGGCCGGGAAGCGGTGGCGAGAAGCGCTGGCAGCGTTTCGGAAATTGCAGGGTTTTAACGGTGGGGTTAACGAGGCGGTCAAAGAGGAGGTTAGACTGGGGGATAGCGAGGGCGTTAGAGGGGGAATCAAAGGGGAGGCCAGAGAGGAGGTTAGATTAGGGGAGCCCAGAGAAGAGGTTATTGTTGAGGCGCGAGAGGGGGTAAGCAAAGGGTTCAGTGGGGAAGTCGGCAAGGGGCTTGGAAAGGGGCCTCGAGAAGGAAACGGAGAGCTGCTTGGAGACGTCCCTCGCAAGGAGCCTAGAGAAAGTGTTGCTGAAGGGTTCGGAGACGCTTATAGAGAGGGTGGCAGCAAGGGGGTTAGAAAGGGGGTTAGAACGGGAGCTAGCGACCGTGTTAAGCCCTCGGTGGCGACCTACGACATCGTGATTCGGCTGCTCGCGCGCGCAGGGCGCGTCCGCGAGGGTTTGGAAGTTTTGGGCGAGATGCGCGGCGCAGGTTTCCGGCCGGACGCGCGGGTCTACAACACGCTCGGCGAGGCCCTGTACGTGGGAAAAGATTGGGAAACGTTTCTGAGATTGGTGGAGGCGATGCGGAAACAGGGCCTCGAGTGCAACGACGCGCTAAGCGGGCGGGTGCGGATCGTAAAGCGGCGGCTGGCGAAACAGGGGCGGCGCGAAAGAGGGGTTGGCGAGGGCGTTTCAGCGGGGGGGCGAGACATTGATGTTTCGGAGGGGGGGGAAGCGGGGGCCGGATTCAGCGGAGGTGTGTCTGGGGAAGGGCGCGAGGGGGTTTTCGAGGTTGATGGATCGGAAAGTGGTTCGTCCGAGGGAAGAGGATCCACGTTGGATTCTGCACAAGATGGAAACAGAACGAGACTCTTGGGGGACCTAGATGCGGGAGAGGACGACCAAGGCACGGCGCCGCCAGGGACTGACACGTGGCAGTCCCTGGCGGACGAGGGCGATGAAACGGACGGCGGGGACGAGTTTGACAGCCGCAGGGTTGCGAGGAGGGGCGTGGACTGGCGCAGGGTGACCGGGGTACCGTACCGGGCACCCCGAGAGGTTGTGAAAAGGCGACGGAGACGAGCTAGAGTTGCGGGCCGAAAGATCAAGGAGTGGGTGCATCACACGGGGAGGGGGACGAGTCAGGACTTGGTCAAGTTGCTAAGTGGGGATTTGGGAAACCTGGATCGCGTTGCGCGGGAGCGATCGGAGTCGCGGTATGTCGATCGGTTTGGAAGTAGGGCCCCTGATGAGGAGGATCGAGTTGAGGGGGATTGACCGTTGGGGGCGTAAGCGCGCGCATCTCAGACTGACCGGACGGTGTGAAGGTAATAAGCCATGCATGCCAGTACGTTGCTCATATAACCTGTTGTGAGTTCCAGCTCCAGCAGAAGCTCTAAGCTCAGCTCGGCCTTAAGCCCTTGTTCTGACATTAATGACGGCGATCAACTCATCATAAGTGCTCGCAGGCATTGGTCTTCCAATAGCGGCCTCTCGTTGTATATATAGTTATATACTTGATATATATTAGCCATGCAGCCTGCCAGTGACTGCCTACCGTCGACGAGTTGATACGTACTGCCGGAATGAACACAAGCCATGCATGCACATATTTGCATGAGCCGGATCGACCATGTTCAACATAACTTGATCTAGGCTCAGCCCATGCTGCAGTGATCGATCCTTCGCGGTGCAAATGCAGCACACTCACTGTGCATATATGCTGCTTGAGTCGTCATGTTCACAATCAGTCAATGCCCTAACAACAAATATAGACGAGCTAGGCACGCCATGGATGGGAGCCTGACTGTTGAGCACGTAGAGTTGCACAGAAAGAGCCACAGCAGCTCCAAAGCAATTGCAGCTGCTTAGTGGGCCCAGCTGTCTCGCAAATTCAAAAGCTTCTTTCGTTACAATTGATTCTCAGAATGTTTGTCCAGTGTCTCGCTACTTTTACAAACGATGCGGACAAGTTCGATGGTCTGCAGCATTCCTCTATCCAGCTAACTTTGACGGTACTGAGTGCCTTCTTTTCCGTTCGTTCTCAATCCTGCCTGGACTATGGACAGAGATTGTATCCAGGTTTGGGCTTACAGTGCTTACTCGCGGCGTAAGTTGCACGGACCTACTCAACCGCCCCAACTCGGCAGCTGGCGCACTTTGAGCCCTTGCAGGGCCAAGTAAACCCGCCGGTTCCGAGATGATTTGCTCAGCCCCGTGCTCAACACTCCTAGTATGTGCAACTGAGAACAACATTACGACCACCGACCCCAACATCGCACCGGTCCAACTCCACAACAAGGACGCAAGAACCCCAACCAAAACGCCCGCTATTCGGACGGCCGCATCACCATCCAGATCCCCTGCACTGCTTACGTCATCCTCAAGGGCCGCCGCTGCCGGCCACTTGGGAGCAACTCCGGGCGCCAGATCCACAAAATCTCGCTCGGAAATGACCGAGCAGTTAGAGGGGGGGTTAGGGGACCGGTTAGAGAGGGGGTTTGGCGACCGGTGAGAGAGGGGCGGCGGGGATGGAGTGGTGGCTTGAGGAGTATTTTGCCCCGAGGCAGGGACTGAAGTGGTGCCAAACCGCGCCACCGATCCCATGGAACTCCGGTTTTTGACCGCTGCCGGCTCACCAAGGTCAAAAACAGGGGGCTCCGTGCTTTTTGTAGGTTGTCGAGAGGCCGTAAAACTTGGGCGGGGGGTCCGTCTGCCCAGGGGAGTTGTCCCCCGGGGGCGGAATGAGGGTATGGGCTCAGAAGCAGGGGGTCTCTGTGGGGGCTTGTTTTGGAGGGGGGTGGGGTGAATTTCAGGGCTCTTACTCGAGGGGTCTTGTATCGCAAGGGGGGGTGGCTTCCGCTGCTTCTTCCGGAAAACTGATGGAGCCAAGAGGGGGGTGGTAAGCACGCCCACGAGGGCTGTGGTGCAGACTGCCACCACCCCCCCGAACGTGAGACAGAGCAAGGCTGTGCAGAGGAGAATGGCAACAAGCCAGGCTGTGTCATTTGCACCCCCGGGCGATGGCAATGACAGCTCGCGGCTAGCTCTGGTTTGCAGGAGGCCCCCCGAACTGTATAGGTTAGTGCTAACGCAGGCCTGGGTCTGCCGCTGACCAAACCCAGCAGGCAGGGACATCCCTTTGAACAAAAGCGAAGGGGGACTGCCGCTGACCTCACCAATGTCCCTGTCACCCGATCCTTCTTCTTGAATCTCTGAGACAGTTGTCTGGCCACGCTGAGAATCTTCTACTCTACTTACTCTCTCAGCAGGGGAATGCTCTCGTCTCTGCTCAGCTGGTCCCTCTGCTGGTTGTGCTTTCGCAGCCCCCTTCTTTCGCTTATGGTGGACATCATTTTCCCCTGCACTCGCCTTAAATTTTGTTTCTTCCGAGACCTTCTTGCATTCTTCTGAGCCAGCCTCGTCCTCAGAAGACTCTTGCGAGTTGGACGTGACCGGCGTCGTCCTGCGCGGCCGCAGCCATCTAGAGAGGCGAGACACAGGGCCCCTCCCGGGACCCTTGCTTTGCTGAGGCTTGCCTGACGTCATCTGCATGCGTGTTGAAGACATGGATTGCCTTGCTTTTGGGGGATTCCAAAAGAATGCGCTCTTGCCGAGGCATTACAGACTCCAATAAAATTTTGCAGATTGATGAGAAGGAATGTCTTCAAATGTTCAAAATTGGACGACTAGAAGATGGAGCCGCCTTCTCCCCTCCATTTCCTCTCGTGCAATGGTGGAATTGTCCATGATGGTGCAGCAACATGGCGACCCCATGGCAGATTCAAATGGCTGCAGCCAGCGCGCCATGGATGACGGCTGCAGTGGCATGCACGTTTCGCAGGTTGGTCGCGCCACCGTACGTACGGTCAAACTTTGACCTCGGTGCGCAATCCCCTGGATCATGTGCCCGGGGGAATTGTGCCGTCTGCTACTGTCCTTCGATCTGCTCAATTGGGCTAATTTGCTTCGTCCGATGAGTCATTTTCACTGCCACAACGTCCCAACCGAGGCAGTCAGTTGTTTGGTGTTGGACACCGATGTCATCATTCAGAGGGTTCAAACCTTACCGCCGACCGGTACCTACTTGTGGACTTTTGGACTCTCGAGTGGCCGGGGAAACTGCCCCGTCAAGTGAAGTCCCGTATACGCTATTGAGTCCCGACTCGCGAGTACAGGTGCCATCCCCGGCGGGCGTTATTCTCTCCTCTCCCGGCCACTCGGAGGAGGCAGCTTCTAGTGCAGTGCTGCTGATGTCATCACGGTTCATGATGCAACCTGCCCGAGTTTCGCGGGCCTGCTTTTACTTTTCAGAACTCGCCGGAGAAGAGTACGTACCAGGATGTTCGGTTAGTACCGCACTGTTTTTGCAATCAGCCTGAGCCAATGTGGTAACCTCTTTTCGTATCGCTCTAGTTCTACGCAGTGGCAAACACTGGCAATCCTGTTGAGCTTCATCAAGTTTGGCAGCAATGAACACGAGACTCGAGAGGATCAGCAGCAGGATCAGCGCGGCGTTCTTGTCAGACCTCTTCTGGCTTTGCAAGCACATTTCCTATTCGAGCTTTGCAGGCTATTCGAAGCTCATTTCCTGCAGAAAGACGTGATATAGGGGCACCTCGCACTGCATCTCTTATTACCGACACTGCCCGCTTGTCGCCTAACAATATTTCTGCGTGCGCACGCCTTTCAATACTTTGCAACAGTCCGATAACTTTTTGCGCTGTATTTGAATACTCAGCCTCAGGTTGATCGAGTCGAGCCATCACAGTCGATGCCGGTTTGATGCCGCCTGCCGTGCAGATGTCCGAATGCACGAAGGGGCTGCAACGCTGCTAGAGGCACTCTGGCCTACAGTGCTCATCGGCCTCGCTGGTCTCCTCCTCGTGTATCTATTCCATGTGGGGCCGCTAGGGTCGCTAGTCCCAGGAGCTGCCAGGTGGCGGGGAGGATCGAAGCAGACTGAGAAGCTGGCCAGGATGAGCGAGCCAGCAACTAGGTGTGAGGTCTGCCTGCAGGAGACGACAATGCAGTGCTCGCGCTGCAAGGTGGTCAAGTACTGGTGCGTGGCAGGGAACTCTGCAAACCTTCACTTAATTTTTATCAAATGAACGGATGCATCGACAGAACCTCTGAGGTTCTTTTCTAATGTTGTCAATGGCGTCCTTTGCAAGACATGTTTTCGATCACCTTCATCTTATTTCAAAGTCGTTTGCACACAGAGATGAGAGAGCCCGTGCTTTGTGACCAGTCCAATGTTTGCAATTTGAGAAGACACGGCTAGGAGGGTTTGCGCTGGTGGAAGCTGATTGATAAAGGTTTGGTTTCGAAGATTCACAAGCGAATGACTATTAGCTACAGTTTGGAAACAATTGCGGCTGCTCCACTGTCATCAACAGGTTCGCTGCGCTCACCTTCCTTTGAAGCAGATCGCGCAGTATCCATGTCAAAAAGCTGAAATCGCATTAAGCGCAATGGTCGTTGCTTCTGGAAAGGTTCTGGAATGGTGGTGTTTTTGCAGCAGCGATTTCGTGACATCTCAAAGGTTGTGCTAGGCTTGTGCTCCCGGCTGACTCATTATCTGCAAAATTTTGCGCTATTGTGCAAAAAGCTGTGGTTTCAAAGCACAGATGATAGAGCGGACAAACAGGACGGCAATCCACAATTGCTTGCAACGGCCAGCTTGACCATCCCAACATCTTGACCTCTTTCGTTGCCTTTTCATCTCTGAAGGGTTTTGGCGCTGTTGATTCATTCAGCAGCCTGCTGACGGATTTATTTTGCTGCCATAACGGGTCTATCGGTGGCTGGTGGCAAAAGAATTGCAACATTTCAGACACTGCTTTGTTGTTCGCTGTCTTTTTTAGTGGTATTGCAATATAGCAGGTCCAGAGCGCTTGACAGGCACTTTGCTTGGGCAAGCCCTGTCTCCAAGGCCTGATTTTTGCTTTTTGTGAAGCTGCCTCCATTTTGAAATTGTATCAGCTTCTTTGGTTTTCTTCGGCCCAAATGAATTGCACTACTTTGTACAGATCCGTAGTAACCTGCTTCTCTTCGTCAGCAGGGCCTCATCTTTTGGTGAACTTGTGGGGTTTCTGATTCGCGACCTTTGTTCTAATATTGACATTGAATCGGTGTCTCATTTGCGAGGGTCGTGTGACAGAACCAGTCTTGGTCTCAACTTTCTACATGGTGTAACAGCGAATCTCCATTCTTCTTGAAAATCTACTTTTTAATCGCTATTGACTCCGCGATTGTATGCTTTTGACCCACATGTTATTGCAATGATGACACTGAATGTAATCATCAGTATATCCACTGGCTTGCAGCTCGCCGGAGTGTCAGCGCAAGCACTGGAACAGAGGCCACAAAGTCGAGTGTCAACCGAAAGGTGGGGGGGGAGCACCAAGCGCCAACGGGCATGCCAAGAAGAGCGGTCCAAAGCAGCCGGCAAAGCCGCTACCAGAGTCTTCCAACGTGCTTGCTAAGCGGGTGAGCGTTTTGCTCCGGGAGGGGCTCACGTCTGGGATCCAAGGGGCAAGGAGAAACAGAATTTTGAGAAGAGGGATAAGGAGTGGGAAGGTGGACTGAAGTGGGGGAGGAAAACATTGCTTGTCCCGGAAACGAGCTGGTTCGCTGTGGACACGAGGTTTGGTGACAGGTTCTGCATCGCGTATGCGCCGAGCGCGCATACTTGCGCAGTCGAGCGCAGACAGGCTGCTTTCGCTGAGTCAGCCTATTCAGAGGGTTTACAACTGATCAAAAATTTTGTGCAGCAGAGAGGACATGTGTCTTTGCATCAAAACGACGATTGCTCGAGAATTACGGTCTCTTTGATGACATCTATCCTAGCGTAGTGTCTCCTGCCTTATGTTGGCAACGGTCACACAAAGTGTGGCTCGAGAGATCTGGACTGCCTGTTCGTTAGATCTTCTGGTAGAAGGGCACCAAAGCGACCCGCTGATCAAGTGCGATCAAGCCTGACTTCTGTTCGATTGGCTGCAGATGCTGTTTCCATATACGGACTTTGTCGAATTCTTCAACTGGCGGGAGCTGGTTGGGGAACCGTGCGGTCTAGTGAACGTGGGAAACAGGTGAGAGACCCACCGCGTTCGTAGGTCTGGGTCCTCTTGATATGTTCGTTGATCTGAGTTGATCTGTCCTTTGTGTGCCCAACGCTTACTTTGACAAGGCAACAATGTGCCTGGTTGCCCCCCACTTTCGCTGCACGCATAAGGTGAGTTGTTAGGTCGCACGTCATCTGGCTGAAATCTTCGAGGAGAGCAATCTGGCCGTATAGATTATGTGGATGGAGCAACGAAGAATCTTGTGAGCTTCTCGGACGTGATGAAGAAGTTTACCATGGCATCGCAAGACCGGACTTTCCTTCTTGCTGCGTAGCCGGGCTTCTGGACAAAGGTGTGGAGTTTGGCATGGCGTTGCAAAACCTAACCGCGCTTTTCTTCCTTTCGTTCTTTGTAGCTGCTATGCCAACGCCGTGCTGCAGTGCCTGACGTTCACGTGGCCGCTTGCGAGATACCTTCTCGAACGGGAGCACAGCGCAGAATGTAGGTTTTCTCACGCACGCTTTTTGATCGAGCTTTTTGATCTTCTGTGGGATCGGAGTTGTTTGCTTTTTCACGTCCTCAGCCCCTTAGTTCAGTGAAGGGGATCGGATGTGGTGTCCTGCTGTTCCCGCTCAGTTTGAAAGGCTCTTCCTGGTACCCATCGCAATCCTTTTTGAAAATGAAGAAGTGTTGCACCGTCCATTGTATCTTAGTGGTTGGTAAAGCTACTATCCATGGAGTATTTTTCCATCCTTCCTGAGCGAGTCTGTATCAAACTCGATCCTCCCAGCTGACAATCAAGTTGTCTTCGAATCCAAGCATGGCAGTATCTTGCCGAGTGAAAACTCAAAGCAGTGCGCCTCGGGCGGCAGTAGCAGCGTAGCCGTTGCTTTCGATCCGGCTGATACAATTTAGCTCAGCTTGTTCTGTTCTAGGATTTCAATCACGAGGATTCTGCACGCACTTCTTCGCTCTCAGGACGACTTTTTATCCCAAGTATTGGCCCGCTAACCACGCTGATCGGTAACACCTAGCCACTAGGCAGGACCGCTGACTCTTTTCTGAACCCTGACTTACCGCAGGCGAGAAGGGCAGTACCGAGTTCTGCTTCCTGTGCGAGCTCGAGTCACACATTGACCGTCCCATTTAGGGCTTGCAATACCTTGCCGTTAACCATGCTGAATGTGGCCACTGACCAGATTTATTGACCTTTTCCTAACCCTGTCTTGTCGCAGGCGAAAAGGGCAGTAACGAGTTCTGCTTCCTGTGCGAGCTTGAGTCGCACGTCAATCGGGCTATTCGCGGCTCGGTCCCGATCATGCCGCAGCGCATCCTCGCGCGGGTGCGCAACGTCGGGGCCTCGCTGGGCTATGGGCGGCAGGAGGACGCGCATGAGTTTATGCGGTAAGCGTGCGGCGGTCTTGATGGGCCATCGACCACCTCGCTTAGATAAGTGGAACTATGCGTGTCTCCCGAGGCGTTCTAAGCTGCATACGGACAGTTCTATGTGTTTTTATCTCCGCCCTCCCTGTTAGGCTTTCTCGGACAGACGTTCTTATTATATTATTCTAGGCAGCAGTTTCAATGAGGGCGTCAGGTTCAGCATATTAGATTCTGTAAGGAGGGGTAAAGATGAACTGATTTTTTTAGCCCCTCGAGCACAGAGTTTGTAGTAAAGGTTCGCACCCCGCCTTCTCATTCATCGCGCATGAGAACTCAGCAATCTGTCCTCCCGAAGACTGGCCGTAGCTCGGCCGTTCCCCTGAGGCTTTGCTTGTGAGCATCACTGACGCTGCCGCCTTGTATCCAGATTTGCGGTCAGAACAAGACATCTTCATCAAGCGGACATGTTCTCATTCTCATTGTCGATCAAGCTCGTTCTGATATTCCTACTCCCAGGCTTCGTGCGTAGCTCGGTTGTTTCGCTTAAGGCTTTGCTCGTGATCACCACTAATGTTGCCGCCTCGTCTTCCTCCAGCTTCGCAGTCGACTCGATGCAGGCCACCTTTTTGGAGGAGGCGGGCGGGGAGAAGAACATTGACCACGCAACGCAGGAGACGACTCTTATCCACCACATCTTTGGCGGAAAGCTGCAGTCGCAGGTTTGCATGCTCTTCCCTACCGTGCATGCCGTATTGCTCTAATAGTGTGGATACCTGTCATAAAGCTTTGAGTCTTCCCGTGGAGACAAGTCTGGCAGCATGTACGCATTAGTTAGATGACGGCCTTCCTGAGGGTCTTTAGATATGCAAGTGTTCACTGATTTGCCCGATAATTTTTTTACCGGAAGTTGGACGAACACTCTCTTCTAGAAGGTGCTGTTGCATAGCTTCTGGGACATCAGTTGGGGGTTTTCAAGATCAGAGAGAACTTTCATATAGCGGTTGGTAAGATCAACTTTCAAAAGCCCTCTGTTCGAAAGTCCACCCCCAACAACTTTTCGTCAGGAAGCGTAGAGCGGCTTCGCGCCGATGGTTCTTCTTTGAGTCAGAAAAGGTTGCCCATTTGCACAGTGTTCGTTGTTCTCAGCTGCAGGAAGATTGCCGATCGCCTCACTCGGCATGGGTTTGATGCGTTTTTAGCAACCACAGGGACGCATTTCGTAGACCTGAATTTATGACACCACTTTCTTGGTCGCAGGTCAAGTGCATGGCCTGCCTTTCGGAGTCCAACACGTACGAAAGCGTGCTCGATCTGACGGTCGAGATCACGGGAAGTGTGAACTCGCTCGAGGGGGCTCTTCACACCTTCACCAGCCCAGAGTGGCTGGACGGAGACAACAAGTACAAATGTGACAAGTGAGTCGTGCATCCGTGACTGCTTCATTATCCGGCAATTAACAGTGCTATTATTGACGTCAGCAGATGAAGCATAGTGATACACGTACAATACACTAATTTTGTACTAAATTTTCGGTTGTCTTTAAGTACGTGGTTAGCTTTTACACAAATCGATGTTATGTTTTGGGAAGTATTACCGGTGGTGGAGCTCTCAGCATTTATCGGCATGGTTCAGCTTGATCTGGAGCGGTTTGAACATTGATAAGGGCCGGACAGATGTCTTGTTCGGGTTCAAATACATAGTCGGTGTCAAAAGAATGGATGTTGGAGCTTTATTTCTGTGCTCGATCCAGAACAACGCCACACAGCCCACTCGAATCGCCAAGCGGTCCGGGAAGAAGTTGCTTAAGAATTGCTATTTCCCTCTTTTTCGATCAAAGTGCTGGTTGGCTGGGGGGCTGAGGAGAGATCGACGCGTCTGTATTGGCCCAACTTGGCTACCCGCCGAATTTTTCATGGGGTATTCGTGCGAAAAACCTATTCGAGCTGCCTTGCTGTTTTGCCGTTTTAACCGTCTTCTTAATCCCAGTGCTAAAGCCCTCTGCCAGCTGCCTCGCTAACCGCCACTAAATGCTCTGTTGCCGACACCCTTCCAGGTGCAACGACTATGTGAAGGGCTGCAAGCGGCTCAGCATCCACGAGGGGCCTAATATGCTCTCCATCGTGCTAAAGCGGTTCCAGGTGAGTTTGTAGAGTTTGATACTCCAGGGTACTCGGCCTTGAGTATTTGAGGGATAAACAAGTCCAGGCTAGGGAGGTTGCTTTTCACCAATGACGGAAGGCTCTCCGAAGAGGGCGAGCTATCCGCCGAGCAGTCGGAAGCTTCGTGGGGATTTTTAATATAGGGGGTGAGATGGTTGCTGACGTGCTGACGTGTCCTCTTTCGACGCGGGGCAGTCGACGCAGTGTAAGTTGCATCGTGTTGGATATGCTTTGCATGACAAGGCTCAAGCGTCTGATGACGGGACTGGTTTCAATCTGGTTCGCCGTCCTTGGGTGCATTACAAAGATGCTAATCAGCAGCTGGTTATCGCAAAGTCGAAGATCAGAACATGCTAATCGAAGAAAGATGACGACCTTTTCTTTGACTCTGAGACGAGTACTTGTTTATCGCCCTTTGCAGGGGGGCCACTTCGGCAAGGTGAACAAGGCCATCGCGTATCCCGAGACGCTGAATCTGACTCCGTTCATGAGCGGCAAGGTATACACTCAGTTTCATGATTCCTTTTGTTTGACCGGGGTTTTGGGATCTTCTAAAATCCCACCAGTGGCAAGATGCGTCGATTTGCGAGTGTTTTGTTGGCTAGCCCCTTCAGGCAGGCTCCTTGCCTTTACACTATATCGAGCAATGTTTCTGGGTGTTTTGTGAAAGGTGGCTGCTACACTTGATGGAGATTGGATTGTCGATCACTCGCGCTGCACGTCACTGAAAAGTGCTTGTGCGATTAGATTAAGGTTGAACTTGACCAACACTGAGTAGCGTCAACTCAAGCAAGTTGACGCAGGAGGAACGAAGCAGCAAACGGACGTGGCTGACGCTCTCTTTCTTCCAATCTTCAAACAGAAGCGGTAAATTTGTGAGCAACAAGAGATGAATCATCTGATATCCAAATCTTTAAATTCGCACCCATAATTCTCCCCTCAACTTTCCGAACAACCTTACCAGCCCCAGGCTGTTCCTCTCCCTCCTTGAATGAGTTGCCTGATTTTTGGTTATATCTTTCGCGTGGTTAGGCATAAGAAACACCATTCATTTGTTGCAGGGCCCGTACCACCTTTACGGCGTGATCGTGCATGTGTACATGGTGAATTCGACATTCTTCGGAGATTACCTGTGTTTCAAATTGCTATAACGGAGTTGGAAACATTCTTTGACTGGTGCAGGGAGACAAGCCCGGGCCATATCACCTGTACGGCGTGGTCGTGCATCTGGACATGCTCAACTCGACCTTTTTCGGACACTACCTGTGCTTCGTCAAGGACGCGTCCGGACGCTGGTACGAGGCGGACGATAGCGACGTCAAGGCGACCACAATCGACACCGTGCTGGCGCAGAAGGCGTACATGCTCTTTTACGCTCGGTGAGAGGTTTTTTCCTTGGATGATTAGTAATACATAGACAAGTGAAGTAGAGACTACAGGAGAAGGCGTGCATGCTATGCTACGCCAAGTGAGATACAACATTCATTTGTCAGAGAAGTGTGTAAGACCGCAGCCGAAAGCGTACGTAGCTTTTCTTCACACTGTGAGGGGCTCCCTTTCCCCTTTTCGCAGAGGATTCGTGGCCCATTTGAGACGGTAAAAATTTCGCTTTGGTCCTTGAGATGCTCGTTTTTTGAGAAAGGACTCAAGCCGGGGCTTCCTTGTTTGCCAGGTCACTTTCGGCATGTCCCAGACTTTTGTGGCTCCTCGATCCATCTCGATTTGCGTTCCTTCGTTCGTCGTCAAGACGGTTTCTAAAAAGTCGGTTTGTGTGCTTGAGGGCCCTTTTGAGGGCTTTCTCTGTTTGGTCCCTTCGTTCGGTGTTTTGTGTTTCCGTCTCCTTTTACTTTGAGTCGTATTTTCCTTTTAGTCGCCTGAGGGTTACTTGCCGGCAGCATTATATGAGCATGAGTTGTTTCGCGTAAAAGGGAATATGTTCATGTGCGGCGTCAGCGCTTCGGAACTCGTTGTCTCGTCCCCTTTACAGCTGAACAGCACAGTTTTCTAGATCACAGAATCCTAGTCTTTGGAGTTTCTTTCGTTCCTGGAGAACCACCTCGGAATCCAATACGTAAGTGTTGCACAAGCTTTTTGAGAGGTTGGTTTCTCGTAATTGACTTCAGTCACCTCTTGCAGGTCCGAGCCTCATCCCGCTCCCCTCATCCAATCTCCCCCGAAAACCGTCCCCCCGTCCAGAAACGGCACCGCTCCGTCTAAACTCCCGTCCAAAATTGCGTCTGCCAGCCGCTCCGCCAGCCCGAGTTCCGTGCTGACGTCCGAAGGGATCCCCCTCCAGTCGAACGGCGACGTCACATCGTCGTCCGACTCAATCGGTAGTGTCAACGGTGCAGCCGCAGACAGCGCCAACGGGCCCCGTGCCAACGGTACGGAAAATGGGGAGGAGATGACGTCAGCGGAAGCGAGCTCAGAAGCAAACGGGTCGGTAGAGGAGCTGGAGGCCATTTACACCAAAGGAGTCGTGGCGCGGATGTTGCAGGAGGCCGACAAGGAGAACGCATTCACACCACCTGAAAACGCATTCACACCGCCTGAGACCGTCTCCACAGCGCCCGGGGAAACATCAACAACGCCGCCCGCAGTTGGGACCGTTGGGGAGACCGCGAAACCCAGCAGTGTCGAGGACGAGGAAGGGGCGCGGTTTGCGGACTCGGTTCTGTTGGCGGAACCATACCCTGCCGCAGCAGTGTCCGAGGGTCTGCAAGGGTTGGAAACCGCCGCCAGCCGGGGGGATCAGTCGCCGGAGGTTGGCCGGAATGGGGATCCGGCGACGCTCGGCCGGAATGGAATCCCGGAAGTGCCCGGGCGGCAGGCGAACGAGGGGCGGAGCGGCGCCGATGAAAGCGTAACAAAGGGTGACGGGAGCGGAACGTCTACAGAGCGGATTCCATCCTCCCAGCCGACCCCCAAAACGAGCGCAGGCGCACATCCGGGCACTTCGGCAGGCGCCTGGAATGCGCTGCCTAACGCGGATGGCACCCCTCCACGGGCTAGGTCAAACGAACGGAAGAGTCCGGGCACGGAAAGCCGGAAACGGACCGCTGCAGATGTGCGGCGAGAGAATCGGACGGCTCAGAGCGAACGCAAAGCGGCGGCAGCGCCGGCGGCGGTTCGCACAGCGCAGAACGGCGGGGCAGGTGTGAAACGGCACCCGATGAAGAGCACTCCCGCCCCGGCGCTCGTCTCGCAGCCGGGCGCCTCGCAGGTAGCTCCCGTACAGGTGACGTCAGCATTGGAGGAGCAAGGCGGGGAGAAACTTGAGACCGAAGCGGAGGAGCAGGTCAAAGTTGGCGAAAGCGGAAGAGTCCGAGGAGGGGCGTCTGATGGTTCGGGGCTTGCGAGCGGTTCTCGAGAGAAGATTGCACTCGACTTCGGGGGAAAATCACATTCTCCAGAGGACTTGTCATTGGGGGGTGCGAATGCGGGCGTGCCAGAGACGGCGGCTCGAGGAAAGAAACGGTCCACTCACCACGCATCTGACAGCGCGGCCCCGGGAAGTTTCGGTGGCGGGCTTTCGGAGGCCAGTGGCGTATTCACACAAAACGGGGGCGTGTTTGCGAAGGGCGGGGGCGCATTCACACAAGACGGAAGCAGTTTCGCACAGGCCGGGGGCGCATTCACACGAGAGAGCCAGCTGGAGGAGCTGTCTCGGCTGCTGAGCAACCGGCCCCTGGAGACGGCGCTCGACAACGACGTCTGGGAATCCGTTTTGGGGACGGGTTTGCCTAACCCGGGCGGTTCGCCTAACCCTCTGCCAGATGAGTCGTTCCTGGAGGACGAGGACTTGGAGGCCCCATCTCAGCCGGAACCGCTCTTCCTTCCTACCGAAAAGACGGGTCCGTTTGGCGGCTTTTCAACGGACGGGGCCTCAAAAGGTGGGCCCGGTGTGAATACGGACGCGGCAGCTGGTAAAAGCGAGAGCGCAGGTCCATTTGGGCTGGGTTCGGTCCCGTTCACACCGATCTTTACGAGCCAACCGAGTGGGAAGGAGGGGGGTCGGGTTAAGCACGGGGGCAGCAACAGCGGGTTAGCGCGGGGTTTCTTCGGGCCGGCAAAAGCGAAGCGGAAGTCGGACAAGCGGTCCGTACGGATGCCAGAAGTCGTGCCGAACATCGCGCCGCTGCAGGAAGAAACGGCGTCGGTCAGCGCAGGGTTTGGGGAGGAGTTTGGCGAGGACACGCCCGAGTTTGGGGGCGGGTTTAGCGAAACCTCGGAGCAGTTTTTGGAAGTGCCTGTGGATGAGCTCGTGCTGACGACGGACACAAGTACGGACGAGAAGAAGAGTGGCGGAAACAATGTGAAGCCGAAAGGGATTGCGGACTTGATCGAAAATGAGGACCTTCTGCGGGAGGTTGGGAAGAGTGCGGATCAGCGGCTGAGGAGCGTGGTCAAGGGGAAGGTGGAGTCAAAGGCGAAGCAGGGCAGGAATGACGTGTGCAATTGTGGGTCAGGCAAGAAGTGGAAGAAGTGTCACGGGAAAGGGCTGGCTGCATAGAAGCTGGATCGTCTTATCGCATATGGGTGCTTTTCCCTTGCATCGCGTCAAAAGAGACGACTGCGGACGTATTGAGCAATTTACCAACACTCTTGCTGTAGTGCCATGTAAGAAGCAAACGGCTGGGCAGGATCGGAACGTTCATTGCTTGCAGTTGAGCCCCCAAACGATCAAGTCCGCGGCACTCAGTTATACATGCATTGCCATAAAGGGCAGATGGCCGAAGAGTCTTCTTGCTACGTGGTCACTGGGGACTTCGTTAGTATGCTTGTTGCATGCATGGTGACTAAAGCTGACATGCATGTGCACCGTAACATCGACTATAAACCGGCGGCCTGGTGACTAGTATATACTTTCGTAGCACTACACTAGAATGATCATCCTACATCACTGTGACTCGTGGGGATCCGGCGTATGACGTCGAGCACCCGGTGACCAAAGTGGTCGATATTAACGAAACCTCATAGTGATCGGACACTCCGATTCATGCATGAGCCTGAGGATCTGATCATGGCGGCAGGTACTAACGGTACACACACATGTGCAGGCGGTCACATATGTACGTGGGCAACTGCATGAACATAGCGTCGCGCCGGCGTACCAGCTGCAGTAAATGCTCATATGTAAGTTGGCGTCGGGCCGGCCATACTCGAGACCAACTAGTTACCACATGTGGTACGTGTACAAAGCGAAGAGTCCAGCGTTTTGGCAGGCTATGCAACCGCAACATGTGAACATGGGGTGTGCACGTACTTCATCAGAATGTCCCAACGCATACTCTAGGCCGCTACAGCATGGAAATTGTTGCATACATTCAAATGCGACTGAGCCTGTGCTGCTTTAATACTGGGCGGGGCACATTGTTGCAGAACCGTACTGACTCAATGTACAACGCACATGCATATGTCTGCAGAGCCCAAAACTTAGCGCAAGCGACTCAATTGTGCATGATCCGTGAGAACTGAGCACCGGCCATCTGTAATTGCAGGCCCTGGAGCACTTTCACCGATTTGCGCCGTGCAAAGTAGCGCCACTGAAAGGACAAAGATAAGCACGAGCGACTCATTTCTGGCTGACCCACTAGCTAGAGACCCTAATATTTCCTTTAAAGCACCTACAGATCCACTTTCTGATTCACTTCGATTCTGACATACCCTTGAACTCAACGCATTACATCTAAACAGTAACATCGCACGCGCTCGAGTGCTCTTTTCATTCAGCACGAACATAGACTCAACCCGACGACTCATGTCGAGTAATCACGCTCTCAAGTCTCCGTCTGTCTACTTGCTCAAAAACATGTCTATCTTTTCAATGTAGTGCACCTTCCCGTCGTGGTTCGTCTTGAGTTGAGCCACCAGCTCGACCGCCTCTTCGACGCTCACTTTCTCGGAGCAGTATGTCGTAAGAGCTTTCTCGATCGCCAACGGAGAGATAAATCCCTGGGGTTCGGACTTGTCCGCAAACATCTGCAGTAGAGTCTGTAAGTTTGCAAGTCTCGACTTTCACGTGGCTGTCGAGACCCCGGTACCCTCCCGCGCTAGTGAAGCAGTACGGTACCGCGGTATCTGTCTACGACTCGTCCGGTCAGTATAGTACGCACCTATACAGCGCCTTGACACAAAGGGCGTGTCCCCGCTGTACGAAGGTCCCAGTGTCAACTCCAACGTTTGGGGAAACGACGACACCCTGATGAACGTCTCGCAGTGCCGTCGCGGGGACGTCAACGTATATCCGGAAAAAGAATGATTTTGCAGAGACACTAGAATAACTATGGATGACAAGAGCCCTATCGAATCTCGTCAAAGCTACACGAAGGCCGTTGCACAATTCCGGAACAGTGCACGCCTTCCTCAGATGGAAACCAATATTGTGAAGAGACAGAATCGAGTGACTAAGGTAGAGGAGTATCGACTGGAAAGAAGCTTACCTTGAACGAGGCGATCATCTGGCGTTTAGTGTAGGCCTCGTTCTGCGAGCCTGTGATCGCGAGCATAAACTCTGCGAGGCACAAAACCCATACGATGTGTTCAGAGGCAAGTGCCCTAAACGATACTCAAGAGGTTGGCCTTGTGTTAGGCACAATGGGATCCGTTTTAATCGCAAAGTAGAGGTGCCGCGGACTCAAGTGAACAAGCGGGAAGTACATTCCTGATTTTGCTGCCATCCAAGACACTTGCAAAGGAAAAGACAGGTAAAAGGATTTTCGAATCTAGCTCAAAGATGCTGCCATGGAGACACTGCTAAGAGAAAGGATAGAAGACCAGTCTTCGTTGTAGTCGCAAAAGAAACACACTGATGAGAACCTGGGTGTATGATCAAAATTTTATCTCAGGACACCAAAGTTCTTGATGGTCGGCTCAAAAGGTTCCGCTTTGAGCTGCTGATGCAGATGAAGGTGGCCCGCATACAGTCACAATATCGTTACAGAAGCGTTGCCCGTTGGTATTGATGGTCTCAGTATCAAAATGTCGGGGAGACACGGCTCAAAAGCAGAGTGTTTCATCTATCATCACGCCATCCTCTTTGAGTGACGAAGGTCAGCAGTCGAAGCTTCGGCACTCAACCTGGACGCCTTCTTTTCAAATTCGCTCGAAAAAACCACTCCTCCGTGTTCGCCGCGCCCCTCTTTGAATACACTTCATCGCATCGCAATGTATCTCAGAGCTAAGGCCGAGAGCTCAAGTCAGAAGGTTGAAAGCGAGTAGCTGCACAACCCCGCATGCGTGCTCACCATCAAAATCAAGGTCGCCGTCCCCATCAACGTCGATCTCTGCAATCATGCCCTGAATCTCCTCCTCGGTAAAGTTGAGGCCCAGCATCTTCATCAGCTCCAGGATCTGCGACGCAATGTTTAAAGTGCCTCAAAGCCTTGCAGACGTTGAATCTCCTTCAGGGACAGACTAACGAGAGCAGAAGATGCTTTGCTTGGGTTTCATGCAGGCAAGCCGCATTTTTACCTGTGCTTTGACCGCTGAAACGCAGGGGCGGTTTGGATGGTTTCCAGATGGTCACAGGAAAGTTTCTTTGAAATTCGTTGTGAAGTGCAATCTGAGCTAAAATGCTGTTAAGGCAGGAATTGTCTTTGAGGTGTGTAAAGGTCCTTGCAAGCACATTCATCAAAGTACTTGACTGAGAAAGATGCAAGTCCCTGTCCTGATTCACAGCAGGGGCATTGAGGGAGGCTTTGACGATGCTGCAACAAGACACGCATCCAGAATCATCGCGAAATAAATAGTCCACGTCAAAAATGGAAGTAATTGTTGGCGGGAGGAACTTCTTGACCTCAGACGATTCATAGGATGGGACATGATAAATTGCTCAGATTCATGTGAGAGATGTCTACTCTGCTTCGAGTCATGCCTGCATAAGTACCATTCACAGTTGCGGTGTTATGAAGAATAGCATCGGGAAAGAAAGCTGCACGTAATAAGAAGAGCCTGAGCTAAAGCTCTCAGGCAGCCGTATGCCCAGGTAACCCGACTTGATTAAGGTTCCCCTAATTGACTAGCCCTGCCAAAAAGAACCAGATCAATGAGTTCGATCGATGAGGTCAATAAGCTCAGAGCTCATTAAGCTTTACTTCCTGTCTATTAAGTTATCGGAACAAGGTAAAGCTTACCTCCACGGCTGAGAGCGTCCCTCCCCCATCCTTGTCCACTAGGTTGAAGACCTCCCGAAACTCAGCCACCTCCTCTTCTGACAGCTCAATGCCATGAACCTGAAAATCAATGAGACACAAAGTAGGCGTAAACTTTGGCTGTTGGCTAGGAAATGGGATTGGCTGGGGGTTTCAGGATGAGTGAAGATTTTAGGGCATGTCAAACTTTGTGTTGGTGTTGCTCACGCCCACCGCCGCTCATCCCAACATAGCAGATTGAAGACATGTAACAGACCATATGGGTTCTGGTGCAGCATTCGTGCTCTAACCATCTTTGGCCAGCTCAGCAAGGAGTGGGAGGATGTCCAAAGATGGAAGAACGTCCTTGAAGTCAGCAACTGGGCAGAAGCAGGGGCGTTCTTCTGCAACTTCCCCTGCACTAATACTGGACGTGATTGAAGACTGGACGTGATTGAAGACATACGCCCCATACATCAGGGTGTTGAGAGTTGCGTAGGCTCCGTAAATGGAGAACATATCGAATCAACGAACTTGTCGAGCTAAACCTGGCCTTGTTAACAGAACCTACCTGCACCATCTTGCAAGCGTGCCTTCTTGAGAGGGCGGCAGAATCTGTTGTTTAGGACGGTCGAACCATGAGCCAAGGTTCACTGTATCCGAATAGCACTTCTTTCAGTTCCCTCGTCATTTGAATGATAAGTCTGCAGTATGGAGCAGACTGTGTTCATTCAGCTCCTCTCCTCGCCAAGGTTTCGACCTTGCTTCCAAACCGGTGAGCCTCCTTGATGAAAAGACGCCATCCAAACCATCAGAGCTCCCCTTTTGTCCTCAATGATTTCAGTTCTCTTG